GTCCGGGCCCAGGGTCCCCTATGTTCAAGAGCCCTTGATAGTTCTTTTTACTATAAAAAGTATTTAATACTATTTAAAAAAACAACAAAAAAAACAGAATTTAAAAGAAACGACATAAAATGATGTATGATAAAAACAATACGCAAAATATTGGCATAACGGAGTGATGTGACGTGTATCATTGGATAATATTTATACGGAATGTTGTAGGATGATGCAAGAATGTCACTAAGTGATGAGAAGATTAGTTGTTTGTTTTTTATAGCAAAACTTGTTTTTAAATTGGGCGGAAGGGGAGATTGGTGAAAGTAAGAATAGGGGATCCTCAATGCTGTTAGAAACTGCCCTGGCGGTCAGCGCTGCAAAGCCGCATTTGGCCGGTTGGTCCCATGTGACTCGACTGTATTTGTTTTTGTACGTCTGCTTTGAATTTATTAATTTTAATTTTAAAGTTTTTATGATCTTTATTAGCAGACTATTACAAAAAAATAGTATTAAACAAGTACAAGATATTTATATTTGTTGGGAGGGAGGGGAATATTCAATTTTATGAGCGTGCCGTGGCGCACATCTTATCCATTAGTGTCCAATAAAACACTAGAAGATATTAAAGAATCTCCATTTTTCTATTATAATGGATTCAACGAAGGATATCTCAAGGGTTGTTCAATGAAGTCAAAGTTTTATCTAGCTAAAAATCGAAAAGGATTTATTAAATGGAGGAGCTACTGAATTGAAAATAAACGAGTCTTTCCTCAGTCTTAAAAAAATTGAAGATTCTAATGCTAAAGTCTAGAAAAAGAGATACTTGTTAGTTTTGAAAACAAACGTAAATCTTAATATTAATAATTGGATTATTTTAAGTATTACGCTACCATAGAAATAAGCATTAGATTTAATATAAATAGAATATTTATATATTTCAAAATAAATATTATTTACATGTGGCTTTTTTACTAATTTCAACCAATACTTTGCATGTCTACTAATATGTACATGAATTTCACGTATAAATATTTATGAAAAAATAATTTCCAATGATTTTCAAGCATATTCAAATGATTTTTTAAGTATGTATTTCTTGTATCTTTTGAATATTGTGTTAATATTAATTTAATATAAATAAAATTTGAATATATTTATTTATGTATCAATATTTTATTAATTTATGATTTGACATAGCAAAATGCAGAGGTCAAGGTTACAATGGAGCAGTAGTTATGAATGGAGTAGCAGTTATGAAATGATATACAGCAAGGATTAGGCCTTTAGACCTGTCTCGTCTCCAGGAGATTTATTTGGTCATTCCATCGCAGGCATGGGTGTCTTACATTTCTTCTATTTTTGGGTGTGTGCCCAAAATTTTGAAGAGGGATACGCGAGCTCTTCATTCTCTGAAGGTGGATGTATCATTGGGATCTATATGCATCAAATATTTGGCCTATATTGCAAACTTGAAGTTCAGACCTAATGTCTTCATTTTTCTTGTGATCCCTCAAAGAGTATTCCACTAGTTGTCTCAGCAGCTACATTTCCGCTGCTTCAATCTTTTTTCTCTGTTAAATCTTAAAAAGACTAAAGAAGGCTCTTTGTATATTTTCTTCCGAGTCTGCTAGGATAACCTGATGATCTGCAAATAGCAATGTATTCAAGGCAATTTTTCCAATAAAAATTATTTTCAATTGGTTTTCCCATCGCCTAATCACATCAAAATATGAATTGAAAAGAATGGGTGACCCTGTCTTACGCCTTGATTTATTATTTAGTATTCATTTCTTTAGTCCTTCTGTATTTACTTTTATATTACCCGTGCAACTTTTCTTGAACGATGGTTTGAAGAAATGGGGGTAGGGTGGATGTATTAGTTAAGAAATCGGCCACTAGATTTTATGAACCAATGCCAATCTTTGGAGAACCAGTCATCCCTTCTCAATTTTCTCAATAATTTGCGTTCTACCTTTCTCAGAGGAGAAGTTTGAGGTATCTCTTGTGATGAATCTTCAGGTGTTTCGGTAATTTCTTCAATTGTTTGGAGAAAATCAAGTACAAAAGTTCTCGTCTGCAACTGAAATTAATTTCTATTTCGTGCCAATGACGATGTGTTTGGAATGTTGTCTTCAGTGTTCGCTGCGAGCTTTTGCCTTCAACTGTTTATTGTGATAGAGAGGGGGAAACAAGGTTATCGTTCAAGAAAAGTTGCGCGATTAATAGTAGTATCCACATACATACTACAGCTATCTCTTACTAGATGTTGTGGAATCCCTCTTCTTAGCAAGAACTCTCACAATTTTGTTCGATTCACAGTGTCTAATTCCTTTTCTAAATCTACAAATGCTAATAACGTGGGAACATTACACCAATGCTTTTCTATTATTTGTGATATTGTAAAAATGCAGTTCATACGAGACCTGTCATTCATAAACTCATTTTTCTTGTATAATAGGAGCGTCTCAGAAATGGGTGCTAGCCTCTGATTTAAAATTTTGGTGTATCCGCCTGAGGCTGTTGCATTTTGTTTTGTGTTGCCCCAGACATCCGGATTTGGGAGTGGGATGTCTCGGGTGGCGCAAAGACGGCAGCAGACACTGCCGTTCCCCAGCCCGGATAAAGGAGGAGGGTCCTTACTTAGTGTGGCATTACTTCCACTAACTTGAGCCACTTCTTTCAACTGTCCTGTTGTGGTCACTCTAGACCCCTTGTAGTTTCGACATCATTGCTATTAGATTTCAAGGGCTAGTGAGTCATTCATTTTCACTACTTCTCTTTGTTTACATTTCGGTATTCTTTCTTACTACTCTACTTCTTTATTTTTCTCTCTTGTTTTTCTCAGAGGTTAGGCAGAGCTCTTAGTCCCGTGGAGGCGGTCGGCGTAGGGGAGGTCAACAAGTGGCGGATCCAGAGGGGGGTCATGTCCCCTCCCCAAAAGGCCTAGAGTTTTCGTTTGTTACCTTCCATTATTTGGCAAAATTGATTTAAATATTCATTTATGTTTGAGTAATGTAATTATTAAATAAATAATATACAGAATCATGTATACATTACAAAAATAATAAACAATATAATAACAAATGTTTATTATTTAATACAAATCTATAACTTTGTATATAATATATAACTATATATATAAGAAAGTAAAACTTAATCTCTAGTAAACGTCACATCAGCACTTGCCTCCAAACACTTTCCCGCCAAATGTGACGTCATAGTGGACATCTCCATAAAGAATCGAAACGAAGAACAGTGCTCAAGAATCAGAAACGAATTTACGTTTCGTTCAATCCAAGGAGAATATTATATATTACAACTTCCTCGGTTCAATTACATCATACGGAAATTCCAAAGATGTTATAACTAGTTAAAAGCTCTTTGGGAAATTTAGACCAGAAAGCATTCACTCTTTGCCAGAGAGCGCACAAAACGATGGCATATTTATTATTGTTGTGCCCAAAGAATTTTAACTACACTGAAATTAAAATACTTTGACTGTGCCACAATAATAATAGGGTGGCAATGAGTAGTTGGATGAAACAACGGTTCATTCCCGCCTTTTCAACCGTTAGAATCGGTTGGAATCTTTTCCCAACAATTACTTTTGTAGTTCGCCCTTCTTCTACAGCGTTGATGTGCCAATGTTTTTGAGAATGTTTAGTTATCAAAATAAAGCATTTATTTTATACTTTGGATTTGTCTTGTGAAAATACTGTCGAAGAGTTCTTTTTCGGTGTAATTTCAATTCGGCGTTGTTACATGGCGGTTAAACATGACAGCGAAGTTAAATTACCTACGAAATAATTGTGTTGAATTATAAGGTATCTTCTATATTTTACTACTTTTTTGATGTGGTGAAATATTCCTAGTTACTTTTTGTCATGAAAACGTTGTTTACCTTCGTATTTTTTTGAGTGTAGATTTTTTCATTACAAGAGTAAATCATTACATATAGTGCTTCCCAAATATTTAAAAGTGCTAATGTAATACGTGAACGGTATTGATACACCTTTTAAAAAATTAACGATTAAAAGATATACCAGTTTTAATGAAGTGGAAAGCGGTTTGGGGTCCCCTTGCACCGAAAAAGTGTTGTGTTTTGCCGTCTGTCATCTGTCCAAATGTATTTCTGGGCCCTTTTAACAGCATTGGGGGCCCACATTATTATAAAATTGACCCATGACTATCATATAATTACTTATAAGTAATTTTATATATATATATATATAT